GGCACCGATACATTGTTAATATTTATAAGAGGAATATCTCTACTAGTTTTTTAAACTTGTTCACAAATTTGCGAGACCCTATCACAATAGGCTGGGTTTTCCCCACGTTCAAACATATATTATGCTTTGCTATGTATGTAGATAGGTTGTTCAGATCTTCATTGACTAGTAAAACTGCTTCAGCCGCATTGTCTATTCCAAATTCCTTATAGATTTGGGTGTCGTCCGCGTACAGGTGGTACTTGCAGTGACGGAGGCTTGTAGAGATATCAAATAAGTATAGTATGAAGAGGAGCGGTCCGAGCACACTTCCTTGTGGGACCCCGGTTTGCACCATCGCCCACTCGGATATGAAATCTTCGCCTGACATGACATAACTCGTTGCATCCGACCTGTCAAATAATCCTGTAGCCACTTGAGGGAGGGAGAGGGGGAGGGAGAGAGAGAGAGAGAGAGAGAGAGAGAGAGAGAGAGAGAGAGAGAGAGAGAGAGAGAGAGAGTTTTTTTATCGAAACCGGGGACGTCAGCGAAAGGACGGGCGGTGTATTTTTATGGTGGCTCCTCAAAATCTGAGCAGGAGTTTCCCTGAAACTACACCAATGGAGAATATGTACTTCCTTCCAAAGAAGTTCCTCAAACTAGGAGGATTTGGAGATCGAGGAGTAGGACGATGAGGTCGAGGACGAGGAGGAAGGAGAAGGAGCGGAGGACGACGATGAGCAGGAAGGATGCCGCCCGCCGCCCTGCACAACCCCGCCTCGGTCTGTAATTGTTTTCAATAACAGGGCCGCTGGGCTCGGCGCGGAGCCCCGGGTGTAACGGCGCGCTGCCCCACGCCGCCCTGCTCCCCAATCGACCCAACTGTTCCGATTCCGGCTGCTGCTGCGTAATAATTGGCTGAGCGTCTCCCGCCGCCGAGGCTGCTCCCGCCCTCATCAGCTTTCGCCACGGGCCGAGCCGCGGCCACTTTAAAGATGCACACCGGCCCCACCGCGAGACTTCTTGCTCGGCGCTACTCAGACTGTGCCGGATAAATTCTCCAAGCTTCCGCGCCGCGCTTTAGGCCCCCAGGGCGCCGGAAATCTCTCCTCCTCGTTCTCGTCCGCCTCCGGATCACAACTACTCCGTTACTTCCGATTTCCTCGTTGCTCGGAACGCGTACTGCGGAAGCCCTTCTCCTGAGAAGCAAGAGAGAGGCGGTTATCGCATAGCGACGAAAGTAGTAAATGATCCCGGGACAACGGAAGATTTCGAGGAGTTCAAGTCAAAAGAATGAAGTACAAAAATCTCAATAAATGTGAGCCATTAAGCCACACACATCACAAACAGAGGCACTTTTTAGGTTCTTGGGGAATTTCTGACTTTAAGGTGAGACTGTATTGATTTTTTTTTTCATTTTTTATTTCACTCAAAAAGTAGAACTGCTAACATGGGACTAAATGGAAAAGGTGACTTAGAGAAGTTGTAGACGTCATTACTAGATTTCATTGTGATTTTTTAGGGTCAATACATTAAAAAATCAAGGGATTTTTGGAAACCTGGTGACTTTGTGGTCTGCTGTTCCATTGAGGAGAACTCGTTATTTTGTTATTATGTGATTTTTCTCACCGTTCTTTTAGCCTTAGTTAGACCACTCTGTATAACGCGAGGCTAGTCCGAGCCGAGGTGGGGGTGCGGGGGCGGGGAGGCTGGGGGCGCATTCCGCCGGGTCCAGTTAGAGTGAGGGGTGGCAGGGCAGGGTCATGCTGCGCAGGGGGCTGGTCGGGGAGGGGTGCACATTGCGAGGGAGGGGGTTGGGATCGCGAGGTCCGTATCCGCCACTTTAATTATTCCGTGGCCCCCAGCCTCATGGCCGCCTCATGGCTGCCTCATGGCCGGGGCGGGGCGGCGTGGCGGCGTGTGGCGTTGGTGGGGCTGCCAGGTAGCAGGGGGGCTTATAGGATATTAATGCGGGCTATAAGTTACCTTCCCGGGGGCGTTCTTGTGCTCCATCTCACCAGGCAGAGGTCCTCATAAGAGTCAGCAGCGAGCCGCCACCCGACCAAACTGCGTACTGTACGGCGCATCTGGAGGTCCTGGAGGAGACGTATGCTACTGTCCTTTTAAAACATTTTGTCCTGACCTTTTATCTCTCTTCCTCTCTGATGCCTACGCGCACTCGTTCTTTTTATTTCACTCGGAGGGATGTTGTAAAGTATACACTGGAAAAGGGTGAAAAGTCGCACATTTAAAGGTGTTTTTCAAGGTGTAGTGCCTAAACCTGCTAAACCATTATAAACTACACCAAAGACCTCATTAGCACCTTTAGGCAAAATACTCTTATTCTTTAATACCCATCTAAAGGTGCGACTTAAGCATCTTTATTTTTCCAGTGTAAAGGCAGCAGAGAGCCTTCTTCCTAAATGTAGCACCAATTGTAGTGCTTTTATGATTATACGTAAAACACATTGTGGCTCCAGCTCGGCACGGCGGGAAAGGGATCGCCCGAGGCCTTTCCTCGTCGGTTCTGGGGGGCCTCATCAGAAAACGTCGGGAACAATATGAAACGTTGCCGTGATACTCGCGCCCCCACCCCACCCCGCCGCCCGCCGTGAGCAGCTACGCTGCGCCACGCAGCGCCAAGTTCACGCTGCCCCAGGGGTCGGCAGCAGCAGATGGCGCCGTTCCTAAGGCAAAAGGAGGAGGGGGGAGAACACGCACGAAAATTAAATGGCAGCCCTGGCCGGTCTCATCCGCTCACCGAGGACGTCTCCGCGTCCGGCAAACGCGCACCGCTTCTTGGAATACTCCTCGCAGGAGACGGTGCAGTTTTCATTAATTTTCCTTCAGTTGACAAACCTTTTGTAAATAAATTTTGGGGTTTTAGGAAAAATAAATCGGATCACAAAAAAAGGGTTTATCCAGAACGTAGGCTACGTTTTAGATATATTATCGGCAAACTATGGTAGCGCTGCGCCTGCGAGACTCAGCCTAGCCAGCCCGCGGTACACGCATACACTGCAGAGAAGATGTTGCGTACCTATCAGGCGCTTGTGATTGCATCGGCTGAACTTGGCTTTAACTTAAACGATTTTAATCTGCTTCCTTAAAGAGAACGCCGAGCCAGATTTTTCTTTCACTTGAAATCATTAAATTATTATATTCTTATTAAAATCAGAATGGTATTTTGGACGTGAAAGTGCGGGCTGTCGGTGCTGTGCAACGTGAGATAGAAAGCTGGCGCCAAGACCACGCCACGCTACGCTACGCCACGCCTTGGACCGACATAGAAGGTCATTAGTCAAGAGGTTTGCGCGCCAAGCTTGGCGTGCAACGGGCAACAAACACACTCTCTCTCTCTCTCACTCACACACACACACACACACACACACACACACACACACAGAGATGAGCGCGGGACGAGATAAATACCTTCTGTTGCTTTTCAAGCGCCTCATGCGAGGATTACAAATTTTTCCTCTCCCATCTCTCACCCTCTGCCAGCGAGGAGCGGCCCGGGAGCCCCGCGGGGCTGTCAGGGGGTGCGGAGGGGCGAGGGTAACGGTCGGGGGGAGAGGGTGGGAGTGGGGCGGCGGAACGGGCTGGTCGCTTAAAACGCTTTCAAAATGCAGGGCAGAGAAGCTTTCACTGCCCGCGCACCTGTGTCCGCAGGGTCCGCAGCGCACGGGGCACACCTGCTGATACGTGAGCCGGGCGTGAGCAAAGCATTGCGGGAGCAGAAACGGATGAATTTATTACACGTTTTAATGGTCGAAACTTGTTTGTCGAATGATTTACAGATGCGGGCTTTTTCGTTTGCCAATCTTCCACCGTCGTCACATACTTACATGTAAAGAATGACACCACAACAAAACGTGTGTGGCTTGTCCCGATCCTAATTCCATTATTTGCTGTTCAAACCGTTTAAACATATATTTGAAAACCTTCGATAGCCTTCGTCATTTTTAGAATAACAAAAAGGCGTTTAACGCACGACAAAAAACAAAACGTAAAGTTTACTCATAATATCAGCACATAGCATATAGGGATTTTATGTCCCCTACCGACCTGCTGCTAATAAAGAACGTACTCTTGGAAAATGAAATGGGCTACAGTACTGCGAAGAGTGGTCGTAGCAGACGACACCGTACCGGTCTGAGCACTCTAATGCACTCCTTCTTCTCTCTCTTCCTTTCACCCCTGCCTTTCTCTCTCACACGCGCCCTCGCACACACACACACACACACACACACACAGTTGCATGGGGTGGACAAATTAGCGCCGTGCCGGGGACAGACCTTCCGCTTCACTCTGATGCTGCTGGCTGCTCCCGTCCCTCCCTCGTGCCACGCCCCGGACCCGTCACGCCGCGCTGCGCTCACGGGGGAGAAACGGGGCAGAAAGAAGAGGAAGGAGGCCAGCAGCAGAGATAAGGGAACTCGAACTGACTCGACCCACTAATGGACTCGGCATGCCAGCGTACCCCTACGCTGCCCCACCGTCCCTCCCTCCCCGCCACGCCACGCACCGCCAGGCTCGTGCTCAGATGACACTGACCTTGACAGCGCCACGCTGCGCCGCTGCGCCACGTCTGGCGAGGCGTGGGCGGGGGCCAGGCCACTCCGTAGTCTCTTTGGATGCCATCCCCCACCACCGAAGGGGGAGCCAACGATTCCCTTTCATGAGCGAAGAAAAAGGGGTAAATCAGCGCTGCGAACGGGGGGTGGGGGAGGGGCGCTATGCCTTGTCCTGCTTTCCCCACCCTTCTCGCACCCCGCCACCCCAAGCCCGCAAGCCCCAGCTAGAGAGCATGGCAGGCGGCCAGTTTACCTCTCCACTGCTGAACTTTCCACATCATTCTAAATTTTCCCGAGAGCAAAGAGCGCTTGAAAGTCACGTGTTGCGAACAGCCAGAGGCTCTTTGCTTCGCCTCGTACGTGTCCTGGTGGGCATAGGACCGAAATCCAAACTTTCTGTTTCTGTTTTGTTTGTTTTACCATTTGTCGTTTTCCTTCCTGCAGGCTGCTCAGGGAACCCGGATGCAAAACGCCTCTACGATGACCTGCTCTCCAACTACAACAAGCTCGTCCGGCCCGTGGTCAACGTCACAGATGCCCTCACCGTCCGCATCAAGCTCAAACTCAGTCAGCTCATCGACGTGGTAAGTGCATATTTTTTTATAATTTAACAAACCGAAAAAAATGTGTATACCGGTATTTTGGCTTAGGCCTTACCGGGACACACTGTTGCTAAAAAGTCATCATCTCAAATTGTCGTACCGCGAGCACTGCGGTGGATCGAGGTGGTTAGGGTGAGGCTCGGTTTTCCAACAGGGTAGCGCGTCGTGCTGTACCTGCTCCACCAGGGCCTCTTTGCTCCTTGTTTCTTGTTGCGCTGAGGCGTGGCGTGGCGCGGGGAGTTGTGCGACGGAGCAAGGCGGGGCCGGAGGCGCACGACCATAACCTCATATATGGCGTGTGCGCATCACTCCACTAGAGCAACGCAACTGGAAAGGAAGGAAAGAGAACGCGGGGAAAAAAATCAGATGTAATGCAAAGCAAATAAGCAAAAATTCACACATGGCCATTTTTTAAAAGTTAAAAGCATAGTGGCACAGCAAGTTGTACTCCAACGTCATCCAACATGCTGTTGGGTTTTTAGAGTATATACCTGCAATTTACTGTGTTTAGTCATGGTCTCCTGATATCGTCACGATATTCCTATATAGTGCCACCGCCAGCTGTATCTGTTCGCACCAAGTAAGCACTATGAGCAAATTTTTATCTGATTTTTGCTGATTTTTTTTCCGTTGGTTTTCCGCTATTGTATTGAAAGGAAGTATCAGGAGGAACGCCCGCATCTTTCGTGATCAGTAGCTTCACAAAAATCAACGAACGATTGTTTCTGTTGCTCTAGCAGAAAAATGATCGTGAGCGCCTGGTGGGTAGGCAATATACTCTGGTTACACGCTTGCGTGTCTTGCGGGTGTGCCTACCCGGAGGTTCGCAGGCGCTAAAGCTGCCCCGCTGCCACGAAGAAATAGAAAAAAATGCCTCAGTTCGGCAACAGGGGTGTAGGCTGAGCACCTTGGCATGCTCGGCATGATAACTTGCACACGGCGCGCACGCTATAGGATAGGATATTGAACAGATGTGGGCCGGTCCCCCCCTCCCCCTTCCGACCACCACCACCACACACACTCTGCGGCAATAAGTGCGAGTGGGTCGCACGCCGTTCGCGGCACGTGGTGGGCCAGACGTGTTTCCATGGATACATCTCCATACGCTTGCACATCGTCATCACTTGATCCATTTTATCGCATTTTCACCATTTTTAAAAATAACTTTTCTAAAGAAATCGCCTTGGTCGGTGCTTTTGACTGACCTGCCGTGTATTAAGATGGATGCGAGAAAGACCGGGAATGGGGTGAGCGGAGCGGATTCTACCTGCGGCGCCCTGCTGCTCCTCCTGCTGCCGCCGGCGTTGCAGCCCCCCCCCCCCTCTCCCCCTCTCGTATCTGAGAAGCAGATATTGGCCGGGAAAGAAACGTGGAAAAGCACTATGAAAGGCAACAGCAGAGCCACAGACAGCAGAGGCGCGCCGGAGTGCGAAGCGTTCGCGGGGAGGAGGAGGAGGGGGAGGGGGAGGGGTGGCGCGGGCGTGCTGGACCCTGTTGCTCGGCCGGGCAAGGGGGTGAACGGAAGGAGCCGAGTGGCAACTCAAGGAGCATTAAAAGCTATACAGCGAAACAGGAGTATAGTTCCGCGGGCCGCGCCCGCCTGTAGGGCTCACCCTCACGTTAAGGGGAATCGCGCGTACGATATGGGGATTTGTGTCAGCGGGCACCGCCGCTGGGCTGCCTGAGCCGGGGCGCCTTCAGTCAGACGTGGATAACGGGAAGCGGCACCCAACAAAAACAAATCTCTCGGAGATCTGCCCGTCGCTGTGTGGGTACCGAGTTCCCTCCACCCCGCATCCACTTCGGCACCGGGCCACGGCCGGGCCGGGTCCCTTGAGAAATACACCGCCGAGACGTGTGCGTCATGTTCTGCGTAGGGCTGTCGCTGTCACAGAGGTCTTTTCTTCTCCCCCCCCCCTCCTTCTCCCTTACCCGTCTCCATCGCTTTCCTCTCGCGGTCTTGCTGCCGGGAGAATATATTTCCACGGGATGCGCGCGCCTCGGTTCACGACTAAGGCGCACTTTATGCCGGGTTTTGTTGGGATCTGGGTAGAAAAAGCCGAGTGATAAGATAATTCAGTCGCATGTGCAGCAGGGAAAAAACATCTTTCAAACGATACAAAGTAGTAGCACACTTAGAGAAGTAAGATTATATATGTTATTCCTTGCTCAACAGTTACCTTTCAACTTTGATGTCCACATGTGGTTGGCCCGCTATAGTGCGCTTAAACCTGGTTTCCCCCTGGCCATGAGCGTGGAGCCTTCGTTACTTGGGGAAGGGTGCGTGGTAGCGGTGGGGATGGAAGCACGGAATGCAGCCGAGCTGCTGCTGACCCCAGCGGCCCGGGGTGCCCCGAGCACCGGCGGTTAGGCCCCGCCGACCTCTCCGCTGGATTCCGCCCCCGCCTCCGCTTCACGCGGGACGCGGGACGCGCGGACCGGGCCGATCCAACCATGATCAGGACACCGTCGTCAGGCCGGCCCAGCCCGTTTGGGGTCGGAAGCACTTGCCGGGGTGCGGTGCGGCGGGCGGGGCGTGGCGGGGTCGGGTTGCGAGGCGTCGGGAGACCTCTCCGCCCCTCCCCGCTCTCCCGCCTGTCCGGCTGATATGAGGGGAGCGCGCCGGGGATATCATAGCCGTGGAGGAATCCCAATATAATCACTCCTACTCTGTGCTCGCTCCACCCCACCCCACCTCACCCTACCCCGCCCTACCATCCGCCCTTCACGCCGCTCCATCCCGCTCCGCCAATGAGCGGCTCTCCAACGCCCCAGACGGTGACGTCACGAGGCTCTGCAGTGCCCTGTGCGAGGACAAGGGTGCGGAGGGCTTGTTTCAAGCCTGACGCGGAAACGAGGAGACGGCGCGGAAAAGAATAAACGATACGAGCGGGAAAAGACCAGAGGCATGAAATGGCTCGTCTGTCCTCTCATTCCCTGGCTGCTTATCAGCTATCAATGCGAATAGCGCCACTGAAGCAACGCCCTTTCTAAAGAAGGCTTCACACTCCTCTCTATCCTTCCATTTCTCTGCCCAGCACCGCCTCTCTCTCTCTCTCTCTCTCTCTCTCTCTCTCTCTCTCTCTC